TTTATTTTTGTTATCCTAATAATAAAGCTAATTAGATGTCTGTTACTGAATTGTAAAAACAGTGTCCTTATGCCTCTTAAATGGCCAGATGGTTCCTTTGATTCTTTGGAGTTAGCATTCAGGTCTTCCTTCCTTCATCCTGTGCACCGCCCGGCAGGGCGCTGCCCCAGGGGCTGGAGATGTGTCTGGGAGCCAGATAGTCAGCACCTCTGCCGTCTGCAGGAGTCGGGGGTGCAGAGCTCAGACAAGAGCTCATGCGATTAGTTATTAACGAGCAGTTGCGGGCAACACAGGAAAGAAGACCGAGGTAGACAGGAACGTATGAGGGTATCCTGTAAGTTCATGGGGAGATTTGTATTATCTTTTAATTCTATTTTTCCATGAACTTTTTGAAGTACCCTCGTACAAATGGGGCCCTGACTTGATGGAGCAGGGAGATCAGGGGCCACTTTGCTGGCAAGATGACATTTCAGCTGAGAGCTTGAGGACTCATAGGAGTAAACCAGGTGAAGCTTAGATACGTGAGTGGGGAGTGTTGCAGGCTGTGCACAGCATGTGCAAAGGCCCTGGGGCAGGAGGGAGTGGAGTGTGTAAGGTGGGGACAGGAAGTGAGGGAGGCACATGATGAGGCAGGGGCCCCGCGGGCCAGGCCCAGTACACACCCTTCACTTGCAGCAATGGATGTCAGTGAAGGATTCTCCATTTGGAGCACCACATGAGCACTAACTGCACAACAAAGGTCTGGTTTGCTGCAGGTGATCTGTGTTCTCCAGACTGCTTTCCACCTGCGGGACGCACTGCTCGTGCCAGGCCCGCAGAACCTGTGTGACATGAGATATCATAGCTATCACCTCCCTGGCCTGGCTTCCCTCCCCTGCTCATACGAGGATTCCTGCCGAGTGATTCTTTTTAAGGCATTTCTTACTCTCTTTTCTTCCTTTACACCATCCAATGGTTTCCCGGGGGATACATTGTCCTATGTACCAATGATGCGTTCACTCTGTGCCGGACCCTGTTCAAGGGTGCAGGTGGCCTCTGCTACCTTAATCCCCACAATGAACTTGCAGAGAAGATTGCCATAATTATTAGCACATTTTATGGATGAGAAGCCTGAGGCACAGAGAGGGCGAGGCACCTGCCCAAGGTCACACAGCTCATAGGTGGTGTGGCATGGACGCAGACCCCGCTGTGTGGCTGCAGGATGCAGGCTCCTTATCCCTCGTTCTGCTGCCTTGTCTGTTATGCCTGGTGGTACTGTACTCTGGGGCTGAGGATCCATGTGGGATCTGTTTGGTCCCTGCAGGAAAGCTGCTGGGTCATCAGGAATTTGGGATGGCCTCCAGGGTTGGACAGGACTTGAGGTGCCTGGAGGGTGGGTGTGGGTGAATGGTGTGGGTGGGTCCAGCCTGGTCCTGCTGCTCCCTGCTGTGAGGCTATGGCATGCTCTGAACCTTCACCAGCAGGACCTCTGGGCTCTGTTTAGACACTCACAGCCACCAGGACTTGCTGCTGTGCTAGATATTCTTGAAGCGTCACTGGTCACAGAAGCCTATAGGAAGCAAGTGATATGCTGCTTATAGATGGTTGTTAGAAATCCGGACATCAACTGAGGCACAGACTGGCAACACTTTTGGCCTGGATGCTGGTAGCCTTAGGTGTGAAGACAGTGCCCTGGTCTCAAGGTTATGTAGGTATCTCTTCTGTGAGATAAAGGTGGTAGTTAGCTTATATCACTATTTGTGACTTACAGTAAGATCTTCAGGGTGTTTGTCGTATGTGATGTGCTGATTATACCTTAATCATTAAAAAGTAATGAAACAAAACGCCCACTAATAGTACCTACTTGGCATCCTGTTGAGGAAACATAGATTCAAGGCAGAGTAGGATGTTTCAACGAGGAAAGGTTTTGGGGTCGGCCTGGCATGGTTCCGGCCCTGGTTGCCAGCCCATGCTGTGTGACTTTGTGCCCTTGCCCTGTGTGATAACAAAGTGTTTCACATGTCCTGCTGGGGCTCAGAGCAGGTGGCAGTTGGGTTCCTCCAGCCCCAGCATCCTTGGCTTTGAGCTGCCCCTGCCTGGACGGCACTCACTTCTCTGAGCTTGCAGTGCCTGCCGGTCCAGTGGAGTCACATTTTCCTTCATCTTCCACTTGTGGTTGCTAAGCACTGAGCAGGACTTCCC